AACAAACCTGTGTATTTTAGTCAGTCTTATATATTTAGTTTTCTAAATAATTACATGCACTAATATGTGCTAATAACTCAGAACATCAGTCTAATGCTTCAATTATTAAATGATGGATTAGTACAGGCATTACAAAAAACTTTATGTGTATTATTTGATGAGACCTTTCAATAGTTCCTTAAGGTTAATATTATGTCCTCCATTGCAAATTAGGAAAATTAGTCAAAGATGTGTAATTTAACCAAAGCCACACAGACAATGTCAGGGAATGTGTATGTAACAAAGATTCATTTAGTAAGCATTGAGAAATAGAGAAAGATAAAATTAAATTGAATATACCTTAGCCAACTCTTGCCATCCCAAACTCCACCATCATGTACAGAACCCTCCAGAATACTTGTACATTCCTCAGGTAGGAGACCATACCACCCACCTCTGGTAGCCCAACCCCTACTGCCACAGGACACTGCTGCTGTGGGATGTCTTCTGTGTGCTGTGATTGGATAATAAATAAAGCTGTTTTGGCCTATGGCAAGAAAGCTTACAGCCAGGTGGGAAATCCAAGCTGAGAGACAGGAAAAAGAAAGGCAGAGGTGGGAAGATGCCAGCCGTCACAGAAGAAGAAGCAAGATGCCAGCAGACCAGTAATGCCACAACCACATGGCAACTTATAGATTAATAGAAATGGGTTAAGTTATAAGAGCTAGCTAGCAAGAAGTCTGCCATAGGCCATACAATTGGTAATTAATATCAAGCCACTGAATGATTATTTTATAAATGGCTGAGGGACCATGGAGCCAGGAGGGACCTGAGAAAACCTCTGGCTACACACTGCCTCTTCCCCAGGTCCTAATGTCAACACCTCTGACAACCATGGCACCCCATTACTTCTATGCCAACTCAAGCAGAACACCAACTGGTGAGATCAGAGGTAGTACACCTCCCCACTGTGCTGGGGTCAGTACAGCTTCCTCACTCATGAATCAGAATGGAGTGCCTCCATTCCTGAACCTAAAGCAGCATCCAGCTGAAAGAAAACCAACTAAACCAAGGGAACAGCAAGTGTAGATCCAAACACCCACTCAGTGAAGGCAGGCCAGAAACTCACACCAAAAACTGAACCAGCAAATTACCTCCAGGGGTGCAAGCCCAGTCTTAAAAAATGAGTGACATGAAAAACCAAGACTGAGTCTCCTCCAAAATTACCAAACATGCAGTCCCCAGAGAGCAATTTAGACAAAACTCCAGAAAAATGATTTTAAATTTATAAATATGTATCTGACAATTCAAAGAGAACATGAAGTAACTCTCAGATGGACTCAAAAAGGATAAGAATAAACTCCTGAGGGGGCCATGGTGTCTAATCCCAGCACTCAGGAGGCAGAGGCAGGTGGATCTCTGCGAGTTCAAGGCCAGACTGGCCTACAAAGCAAGTTCCAAGAGCTACATAGAGAACAGTTAAAAAAAAAAAAAGAAAGAAAGAAAGAAAAGAAACAAAGAAACTCCTGGAAGAATTCTAAGAGAATACAAACAAACAGTCAGATGAAATAATGAAGACAACTAAGAATCTGAAAACAGAAATGAACAAAGTGAGAGAATTAGGGGAAAAAAATTCAAGCAGAAATAATGCTAGAAGTGAAAAATTCAATAAGCCAAATTAAAAAGCTAAATGGAAAGTCTCAGCAATATCATGATCATGTGGAGAATAGAATATCAGGGCTTGAAGGCAAGGTAGAAGAAGTGAATCATTAAGTCAAAGAAAACAATAAATCTTTTTTAAAAAATAATAAATCTTAATCATATCAACCCAACATGTGAGGCCTTTGGGACATGCAGAAAAGAACAAGCCTAGATATAATATGTATAGAATATGGAGGAGAATTCCAGGCCAAAGATACAGAAATGTCTTAAATAAAATCATAGAAGAAAATTTACCAAAACTATGGAGAAGCCCACATTATAAGTGCATCTATTATTAATACTAATTACATCAGTAATATCAAAAACCTTTCCTCTGCTTTGCTCTCCAGCCCTGCCCCTCCACCCCTCTGAACTGGTGTCTCACTATGTTGCTGCCCCACAGTGCAATGCTCTTCTTGCCTTGGCCTTCTAAATATCATGACTAGCACAGCACCTACCGAAGTATACCTTTTGAAATCAGGATTTTCCCCAGTAATTCTTTGAAATATCTTTGTAAAACATAGCTCTCACTTCAGTGGGAATAATAGACAAATGATTTCAGAGGGTAATATAAATGATCATTGCTCAGGAACATGGATTGAGAATATCACAAATGCTGTGTTCCAATATGTAACAGTTTAATGAAGTTTTTGTGGTAATGGAAAAAAAGAAAGTCATAAATCAAGGCACTTTTCAAATACTTTGGTGAAAATATTAGGTAGGTGGGTCATTATCAACGACTATGGGGGTCCAGCCCCTCGATAGTCCCCTCTCAGAGTCCGGGAAGAATCTACAACCAGCTGATAATTAATATTTGATGAAAAGAAATGAATCTATGTACATGAAACTCCTTAGTCCATACACTTTATTATTCTGTCAATTCTCTCTCTACAAGCTTCTATTCTGCTCTCATTTTTAGCTCCTTTTTTGCCTGATTTCTCTCTGTATTTATCTCCTGCTCCCTCTAAGTTCTATCTTAATTCTCTCGTCTTAATTCTGCCTCATCTAGGCCCTTTTCATCTCATTCTTACCCAGCTAGTACTTCCCCATCTGACTCTTCCTCATCTTCCATCTCGTCCACATGTTCTCTCTGGTCAAGATCCTCCTTCTTTTTCTCCATTCTCCATCTCTCAGCTCTCCACACCTCTCTTCCTTCCATCTCCTTATACCTCTAAGTTCTATTCTAAGTCTCTCTGGAATCCAGTTATAAAGCCAAGCAATAGCAATCCTCTGGCCGAGCAACGTCACCAGGCTTGAATTCTATGGAGTCATAAAGGTAGGTAAGAATTTTCCTCAGGCAGTGACCACCAGGCTTTCTTTTACAATCCAAAATGGGAGTGGTAAAAGAGGTCAACTGAGTGTTAGTGACCGGTTAGTATATGAAAAAGGGGGTCTATGTGCTGAGAAGTAGTTAGGTAAGAAGTTAGGGGTCTGTAAAGTTAGTAAGGCTGTATGAAAGGAGGGTCTGAGCTAAATTGTGTAAAGCTATTACCTAATGTCCACCTGACCTAGGCAGTGTCTCCTTGTGGAGTTTACCTTAAATTAGTATGTGGGCTGTTATTTCTGTTAGTCCTTGAAAGTGGCTAAGGGAGTTATCTGATTCCAGTGCTGAAAGGGGAGAAACGGGTGGGCTGGGGCGAAGGAAGCCTTTCCTGAGGCTGTTCTCCAAATACCTTGAATGTGTATGTCCAGAGAGTGATCAGTCCACACTGTTAGCACTTCTTTGGGAAAAATCAATTGGGAAAACTATGAAGGCACACATGATTTTCATAACAGAAGACAGCTGATATGTAACAAGCCAAATAACACCAAATGCTCCCTGGAATTTGGCTTCCTCTGAAGGAATTCCTTGATCCCTTCAGGTAGTGACTTTGCCATAACCAGCTGCGTTCTTATGATATATTCCTGCAGCCCATAGCAGGTCATAGCAAAGTAGGGAAATCTCTATCCACAGGCATCAGACAATATCTTATAGCATGCTTAGCCTTTGGAGTGATGGTAGCTAATGGTCTATCAACATATTCCAAAAGTATTTATCTGTTAGTCACAAAGATGCTTACTTAAACATTAACAAGGACAATTAACAATTATTAAGTGGTTAAAGGTAGTTCAGGATAATTTGGCCTCAAAACCACAACATTTCAATTTTTCACCACCATGGAGGCTCTATACAGACAGTTTTTCTCTTGGAACTTCAGCCCACAGAAAGTAGATTTCAAGGACATGGGAGAGGAATTTTTTATTTTTATACTTTTAGCATTTGTCACACTGTTCCTTGGACATACTCAATTATCCCTCTACTAGACACAGAATACACATTAGTTGTCAACCATTGTTTCTTACATTGTTGCTTTCTGAGATGCAGGGAGATTTCTTCCTCTTTTTTGTTAATTCATTGTTTGAGAATTTCATACATGTATATAACACATTGTGGTCATACTAGCCACCCTACTCTCTTATCTGCCTCATCTCAAATCCACCCTTTCTAACTAGCCCACCAACTATAGATCTGAGAGTCATAAATAAAGTAATTCACCTATGGGCTCTCTATGGAATGGGTGTCCTTGCCCTCTCTGTTACCTAAAGAATGGCCTATTAGAGTTATTGACTTAAATGACTATTTCTTTACTACACCGCTACAAGAAAAGGATAGAGAAAAATTTGCCTTCACAGTATCTACTTATAGTAATTCTCAGCTGGTCAAGAGATATCAATGGAAGGTTCTCCCACAGGTAATGTTAAATAGCCACACCCTGTGCCAATATTTCATGCAAAAATCATTGAAAATAATTCGTGTACAATTTTTACAATCTATAATTTACCACTATATGAATGATATCTCATTAGCTGATGCAAAGTTAGATACTTTAGAGAGTGTGTTTGAAGATTTAAGAAAGTTTTGCCTCACTGGGGATTACAAATTGCTCCTGAAAAAAATACAAAGAGGATATTCTATTAATTACTTAGGACATAAGATAGGCCCACAAAAAATTAGACCCTCAAAAGGTACAACTTAGGAGAAATTGATTGCAGACTCAGTGATTTTCAAAGATTGTTAGGAGACATTTCCAATTTACTGTCCACCATTGGGATAACTAAAAATGTACCACTAAATTTTTCCAGTACCCTAGACAGGGACAAGAACTAAAATAGTCTAAGAGAATTATCAGCTGAATCTGAGAAGGAATTGGCTCTACTAGAAAAGAAAATATGAGAGGCACATATGGATCATGTGACTCCAGAGCTTAACTGCATTCTGGTTATAATACCCTCTAGGTTTTCCCCTACAGGAATCTTAATGCAGAGGGAAGATATTATATTGGAATGGATATTTCTACCATGTAAACCAAATAAGAAATTAAAGACACATGTGGAAAAGATTTCTGGTTTGATTTTAAAAGGAAAATTAAGAGGTCATCAATTGACAGGAATGGATCCAGCAGAAATTGTAGTATCTTTAACTAATGAGGAAATCTCCTCTTTATGTAAAGATAATGAATACTGGCAAAGAACTTGAAATAGTTTTTTTTTTGGGAGAGATTAACAACTGTTATCCCAAAAGCAAGAGAATAGAATTCATAAAAAGAACCAATTTGGTCCTTCCTCACATTGTACAGGAAAAACCAGTCTCTGAAGTCCCCATATTCTATACTGATGCAAACAAATCAGGAAAGGCAGGATATAAGTCAGGAGACTTAAGTAAAATGGTTCAAAGCCCCTACAATTCTGTACAAAAGTCAGACTTGTATGCCATTCTTATGGTACGAATGGACTTTACAGAACCTCTCAACATAGTTACTGACTCTCAATATGCAGAAAGTGTTGTTTTACATATACAAACTGCTGAATTTATTCCTGATAAAACAGAATTAACTTTGTTATTTATATAATTACAGGAAATCATCAGAAATAGGGAACATACTATATATATAAAACATGCATCAGATCCCGTACAGGTCTGCCAGGTCCTCTAGTACAAGGTAATGATGAGATTGGTTGGTTATTAATAGAAAATGTTCTGGAGGCCTCATAATTTCATAAGAAGCACCATGCAAATGTTTGAAAAAGGACTTTTCCATCACTTGGCAACAAGCCAAGGAAATTGTAACAAGATGTCCTACTTGTTCCTTCTATAACCAAACTCCATTACCTGCTGGAAGTAATCCTAAAGGTATACAAAGAAATTAAATTTGGCAGACAGATGTGTTTCATTTTGCAAAATTTGGAAAATTAAAATATGTACACCACACCATTGATACCAATTCAGGATTTCAATGGGCAACTGCTTTGAGTTCTGAAAAGGCTGATTCTGTGATGACACACCTATTAGAAGTTATGGCCATCATGGGAATACTTGTACAAATTGAGACTGACAATGCTCCAGCATATGTCTCTAGTAAAATGAGACAGTTTTTTGCTTATTACAATATAAAGCATATTACAGGTATACCACACAATCCTAGAGGGTAGGCAGTTAAAGAAAGATCTAATCAAACTCTTAAAGACATGTTAAATAAACAGAAAGGGGTAATAATGACCCCTAGAAATAGATTACATCATCTTTTATTAACCTTGAATTTTCTTAATGCTGATGAGAAAGGAACACCAGTTGTGGAGAGACATTGGATAACAGAAAAAACTCCTGAGCTAAATCAACCTGTCTACTTCAAAGATGTGTTGACCTCAGAATGGAAACCAGGATATGTGCTACATTGGGGAAGGGGTTTTACTTTTGTTTCCGCAGGAGAAGAAAAGCTACAGATACCGTCAAAATTAATAAAAATTCTGTTTGAACAAGAGAAACCCCTCGATGAGGAGAAGTGATAGCTCATCCACTGATGTAACAATTCTACAAGTTGTAAGGAAAACTCACCAAAAAAAGGTCGGGGCAAGGTTCTGTTTTTTGTCTTTACAGGAGATAATGCAGGAGTTGAAATCCATGGATACCAATAATGAATCTATTCATTAAGGGGTTATATGGGGTATCAACTCACTGATAAGGGATATGGCAATTTCAGTTGCAGAGTCCCTGGAAGGCTGAGAACAGGTTCCACTGTGTTTCATGCTGCCTGAGTCAGTCTCCACCATCCAAGAACTTAATAGAGAGAAGAAGGGGCCTGTGTACATGCTCCTCAGGTCTTAAACTAGCTAAGAGGCCATGGCCTAGGTGCTGATACCCCAAGGCCATAGGTGGAATGAATACCTACTAAGGTTTTGTTTTGTTTTTTATTTTGCTCTGTGACCTACTGCATTTCTTGATGCTCTTGCCTTTTTTTTCATTATTTTCTTAGCAAATCACTGAAGTACAAATAGAGCTTTCTTTGACCCAGCCATGAATCCAAGGGTGTAGACCAAGCTTTGTCACATTGAGCCATCTCCCAAGAATTGTCCTTTGGTCTCTAATATCCCTCAGTGAGCTGATTATTTACTTAGAGGTGTAATGGCCAGTAGCTTTCTTTGGTATAAACTATAAATTGTAACTAATGGCAGATCTCCCAATCTCTGAAAATCTCCAGTGCTTGTGAAGGAACTAGGAAACTATAGCAGGAAATATCCCTGTGGGATACATGTCTCTCGTCACATTTTGACCTCTCTTGACTTATTCTAAGCCATTTATTTACTGCAAACCTTTGTGCAGTGAATTAACAAAAGATAAGGTCATGCTGCAAGCTCTCCATCCTATATTTGAATATCTCTCAGACACCCTAACTGAGTAGGAAATAGTGTGGGGCCATCCTGCCTTCAGAGTATAGTCCACAGGACCTCACTGGAGAAATAGAACCCAAGATGTGGCCTGGCAGCTCCAAGAGTTCTGTGGTGGGGAAAGGCTCAGGTGGCCCCTCAGCTGAGCAGCAAGTGGTTGTGCTTGCTGAGAAGGATGTGGGTTGGCACAGATGGGAAATGGTTCTTATGCAGGCTGTTCTAGAAGCTTTAATGTTGTGCTCAACCCAGAGTGCACAGTAGTAGATGGCTTCATCTTCTTTCTTCAAGGAATTTATGATCAAGGTTGCAGTAGAAGTTTGAAAATCTTTCTTTGCTTCAATTTTCTTGCTGATCCCTTCTAAAGGGCGATGAGTATTATCATTTCTGATATATATCAGATACTCAAATGGTTGATTTGTCTTCTGCCGGTACCAATGTATATCTACTGTGTCAAAGCCTTGAAGAGAAACTTTACACGATATTTGGGCACTCTGGCTTACTGCTCTGGTGACTGATATTTCAATTGGCTCCAACTGCCCAAGTCCAACTGCAAGAGAAAATTCTCATGAACAACAAAACAATAACAGAACAGCATTTGAAGAAATGGAAATGAGGCTGACTTCATTGCCTCTTGCACATGGAAATGTCTACTTACAAACCCAGAGGCAGGAGAAAGTGAATCCACTGAGGAGCAGCATCTTGACTGTCAGGCTGTTTCACAAGGAGGCAGGATGTAGTCTGTGAGCGGGTGTTTCAGATCACAAGCAGGAGGCTGGGACTGTCCTAGTGTCTCAGAGAAATGCAGGGTCCATGGATCCCCCAGGGTTGGTCATGATTTGCTCCAGTTCTGAGCAGTTTTGGGGTTACCTGCCCCACAGCAGCAGGTTAGATGTATATGTGGGTTAAAGTTAGACGAAACATCTTTGTCTGGTCTGTATGTCTTCATCTGGTACAGAGTAGGGAGAGTCACCAGCCAGTCCTTCACTCTACTGTAGATATGTTGCCTGGAGATCAGAAAGAGACATTTGCTATATTCTGTCTATGTTTTTGTGATTTGCTATTGATTCAAGGCTCAGATACAAGGGCTGACCATAATGTTCTGCACCAGGAGAAAAACAGAACAAAAACTTCAGACACTGTATTTGTCAGACACTGTGCACAAGTGCATAGACATTTTGTGTTTTCTTCTATTAACTACAAAGTCAGCCAGTAGATTGTGACTTGAATAATTACATTTCATTTCTAATATAGGAACTTGGAAGAAAAAAAATTGGATTAAAATTGTCAATAGGTATCAAGCAAGTCAATCTATGTGAAGTGCCATCTCCTCTTAGTGGAGCATGGAATCAAATATATTAGGTAGAGACACAGCCATGATTAACACTCAATGATAGCCTTAAGGCTAGTGTTAGTGCTTCACAGCCATTGGAGATTTCTCAGGCATTTGACAAGCTTTATTCCATGACTTCATTTAACCCTATCCACAGCTCCATGAAGTGGGTGCTGTGTTCTTCTCCATTTGACAATGGAGATGGTAGCAAAGAGAAGTGAAATCACACATTCAATAAAACAGAACTTTTAAGTATAATGATTCAGAGAAGCAAAAAAAAAAATCTGTTAACGAATATCTGAGTAAGATGAAAAAAGTCACGAAGACACCTGCCATTATATTTTCCTCAATTTTCCTCCACGTATTTGTGGATAGAAACAGGATCTCACCCCATAACACACAGACTGTGCATGTTCCCTGTGCTTGTCCAAGAGATATATGATTCTGCATGTTTTGTAGCACTATTCACATGAGCCAAGATGTGAGGTAACCTTAGTTTCTAACCATGGATGAGTAGATAAAGAAAATGTGAGGGGGGTGTGCATGTGTGTGTGTGTGTGTGCGCGCGTGCATGCACACAAGCACATGAGTGCAATGAGACATTATTCAATTACCAAAGGGAACAAATTCTATTATTTGTAACAACAAGGTTAATATTGAAATACATTGTGTTGTATGAAAAAAGTGAAACATAGCTAGACATATGTGTGCCACTCTTTGCTGTGGGATGGTCTGTATGTCAAGTGTGTTGCTGATTGGTCAATAAATAAATCACTGATTGGCCAGTGGCCAGGCAGGAAGTATAGGCAGGACAAGGAGGAGAATAAAGCTGGGAAGTGGAAGGCTGAGTCAGAGAGACACTGCCAGCCGCCATGATGACAAACTGCATGTGAAGATGCCGGTAAGCCACGAGCCATGTGGCAAGGTATAGATTAATGGAAATGGATTAATTTAAGCTATAAGAACAGTTAGCAAGAAGTCTGCCATGGCCATACAGTTTGTAAGCAACATAAGTCTCTGTGTTTACTTGGTCGGGTCTGAGCGGCTGTGGGACTGGCGGGTGACAGAGATTTGTCCTGACTGTGGGCAAGGCAGGAAAACTCTAGCTACAACTCTTCTTCCTTCCTGTTATAAAAGGGCATTCATATCCCACACATGGGTGGGTGCTGAAAAATTGGTGTCAGAGACGTAGAGAATAAAATAATGATTGATAGAGCTTAGGAAGAGTGGTGAGCAGAAAGGAATGGAGATAGTTTGGTTGAAGGGACAAGGTACAGTTAGGCAGTGAGGGTGATCTCTAATGTTCTCCAGCAGGCTAGAATGATTGTGGACAGCTATTCTAGTTCCTGGAATCATTTCAAGTAGCATACTTCTGGCTCAGCTACAGCTGAGTCAGCAGAGTGCTTGCTTAGCTCTGGGTTTGATTCCCAGCACCACATAAACTGAGTGTGCAGCAAGCACGAGTTCCCAGGACTTGAGAAATGGAGGTAAAAGGATCAGAAGTTTAAGGTCATCCTTGGATAAATATCAATTTCAAGGCCAACTGGGGCTACATAAGACTCTGTCTCAAAATAAAATAAAACAAAATAAATGTCCCACTTTACCCTGTAAATATTACTATATATAACTACTATGTGTTCATTACAAAATACATATTTTATATGTTTATAATTCTGGAAACTTCTTAGAAAGATTTTATGGTTTATTAGTGAAAACAGGGGTGATGAAAAAAGAAGGAATAATATCCTTTGTTATTATGCACACATACCCAGACACATGGTCTACGTATTAGTGCTATTTGCATGTGTGTATTGTATGGCTTTTTATTCTCTTCCACTGATGAATTCACTTGAGAAGCAGCATAGAGTTTTAAATAATCTATGTGAAAATTTAATGAAGGCAAAGAGAAAAAAATCTTCAATATTTCTTTATCCTATACAATGTTGCCTAAATTATTTAAGCTTCTATTTCAGCACATGTACCTCGTTCACACTTGAATTTTTAGAAGCATTAGGAGGATGACACCAGAATATGACATAAAATTGTCACATAATATTAGCCAATTCATCAGGAGTCTTCAGTGTCATCAAGTCTTAGCATAACTTTTATCATCAACAAGAGAAAACGAAGCATTTCAAATATGTGTTTAAAATGCAGAGTAATGTATTGATTTCTTTTTCCCCAGGGTACTGCCTTCTACAACCCATCATGGACTAATAACCACAGATGGCGATGTGATGCCAGTCTTACACTTGACATTGAATTCTTCACACTCCTTTTTTTTAAACCCCAAATCCCTATGATAAATCACATTCAGTGTCTTCTTCTGTTCCTCAAAAAAAAAAAAAATTCTCAAAGTAACTTTATAGAGTGCATTTGTGTTTCATTCTCAGAATTGCTTACTACTGGGTCTTGGATGGACCCTGATTAAAGCTTTGCTTTCTGTCCCAGACCTCATCAGTCATAGTCCTGCTTGACTTTACTTTCGTTTATCTGAGTTTTGAGACAGAGTCTCACTCCAGTGCCTGGGCTGGTCTTGTATGCTGTGCTGAAGATATCCTTCCCTTTCAGTTCTCTAAGAGGTACAGACTATAGGCCTCCACAACCATGCCCATCAGCTGAGTGACTTGTTTAAGGAATCTCATGTGTGGAGCAGAAAGAGCCCATGTTGATGGTCTGTTGAATAAGAAGTCTAGCTGTGCTGCAGAGTTATATTATTCCCAAGGGTCAGATGAACCGAGGCAGTGTTGTGGAACTGGCCTGGTGGGTGACAGGTCCATGTGCTCTAGAGATGCCGGCTGATTTGGAGATGACAGGTCACTTATGTGGAGGTCACACAACTGCCTGTGTGAGTGGCTGTAATCATCCTGCTTCCTTCTTCTCCTCCTGCCCCTGTGAAGGACCACTGCCCTGGAAGTGGCTTCCTCTCCTTTAAAGTGAGTGACATGAAAGTGGTTAAGAGCTTGTGCTGCTCTTGGAGAGGACTCGAATTAGGCTGCTAGGCCCAACATGGAACAGCTTACAAGTGCCTGAAACTCCAGCTCCAGGAATCCTGACCCTCTTCTAGCCTCTGCAGAGATCTGCAGTCATGGTGCATATACCCACACAGTGAGGCACAAACGAACACATAACTGAAAGTAAACTACATCTTTTAAAAAGAAGAAATGAAATGAAAGCAAGTAATAGCGAGGCTTTTGGAACAGGATGCTTCCATCTTCAGCATCTGAGTTCTGTGATCCATTAAGGTGCAATGTGGAACGTGCTGCCTAAGGAAAATAGCGCACATCACACCCACTAGGAAAGCAGCAGAAGTCCAAAGATAATGGATGCTGGTGAGGATGAGATGAAAAGAAGCTTTCTACCCCTTCGGTGGGGATACAAATTGGTGTAGTCATTACAGAAACCATAACGGAGAGTTCCCATGCAAGAGTAGAAATGCCGAGAGACACAGCTGTCAAGTTCCCAAATGGAAAACCAAAGAAAATTAAATCGCCTTTGCTTTTGCAAAGGGATGTCGACACTCCCATGTTCACTGAGCATTCATCCCATCATAGAGGGTGTGAAAATCTCATAATTCTGTATTTGGATGAATGAATAAATGTAGTGTAAAACACACCACCACCACCACCACCACCACACACACACACACACACACACACACACACACACACACCGGAAGAAAAACGACTCTCCTCTTTCAGCACACATTGATTTCTAGTAGCTCCTCAGTGAGGAGTGGGGCCTCGCATGGCCCTCCCTCAGCTCGTTGTGTGTCAGCCACTGTACTAGACACTGAACACTTCTCTTGGGCTTGATTATTGACTGTCACAGACACCCAGTGAGTGGTGAGTGTGTGTGTGTGTGTGTGTGTGTGTGTGTGTGTGTGTGTGTGTATGTGTGTGTGTGTGTGTGTGTGTGTGTGTGTGTGTGTGTGTGTTGGTGGGCAGGGTGTTCCTCATTTTATTATCATCAGATAGATGAGGAAACAGAGGCCAGGAAATGTTCAGAGGACACAGAACTTGTAGATAGGCAGAATCAGACTCAGAGATGTCCTTAAAGAGCTGTCAAACACTGATATAATTTCAAGCCTCTTTCATCAGATTTATATTTATGAAGTTCCATAATGGAGGAAGGACTTTGTTCTTGTTTTTTACTTAGTTAAGTTTTTCAAAAATTATACCTTAAGTGGTTATCTTTCACGAACATAAGAATAAATA